CTAACATAAACAAAAACCTAATCTTTCCTAAAACGCCATAAATCACTCGAAAAGTGATCATTCAAGATCGAAACCCCAATAGAAGAAAGTTGTATATCACATAAGGTGTGTATGCTGCTTTGTGCAAATGTAAGTCACGGTCGGCCCTAAACAGCTAATTACTATGAGGTCATTAAATATAAATTTTTAACCATAATAATATTTAAATAAATAACATATGTATATTCAAGCGAAGATTTTGTACAATCCAAAAGATATAGTAGTAATATAAAATATCTTTCAGAATTCAAGAAATTAGGCTAGGATAATATTTAGCCTTCCCATCTTTTGATATGCAAAATTAGTAATTACACTACACAAATCAAGTTTTTCCAACTAGTTTTTTCGATAAAAAGCATAACTAATCTATCAATTCTCTCTTGTAACATGGTTGATTAAGGATAAGAGTTAATCAACTTCAACTTTAAAAACTTATTTATGCAAAGGCAAGTGTCACAAGAATAGTCAATGATACTCTATAAGAAATCCAAATATTTGCAAAACAATAATTCACTATGTTAGGTTTTATATATTGTATGGCGATTCTGTGAACAAAAGGACCAACTTGAATGATTATAAAAGTTTAGGGACTAAATTGTAAAGTTTCATAGTTGGTAGGTTAGCTTAGAGCTTGGGATATCATGTTTGAAACAAGAACGATTTACGTCGATTTTTTACTAACTGCTTGTCTGAGTCATGCTTGAGTCGATGAAGTAGGAACATCCTTGCTCGACCTTCGTCCAATTATCGCTCAAGCGACAGACCCTTCGCTCGAACGTCCTGACCCTTATTTATTTAGTCTAGATGAGTTAGTCCTTCTCCGTGCATCCATTTTTCGATGGAAGCAACTATGCTTACTGGAAAGTTCAAATGTGAGCTTCCTTAAATCTTTAGATGAACGTATTTGGATTAACGTTCAAAATGGGTGGGCTCCACCTTCAACTACTGTTGCTGGTGTAGTCACACTCAATGATATATCTCTGTGGACTAAAACCAATCTTGATGAATACAAGTAGAACAGTAAAGCATTATATGTCCTGTTTATGGCTGTATCTGCTGAAGAGTTTAGGCGAGTATCGATGTGTGAAACTCTTAAGGAAGTTTGGGATATTTTAGAAACCGCACGCGAGGGAACTAAAACTGGTAAGAACTCTAAACTGCAGATGTTGACCACTAGGTTT